GAAAGAAAGAAAGAAAGAAAGAAAGAAAGAAAGAAAGAAAGAAAGAAAGAAAGAGAGAGAAAGAAAGAAAGAGAAAGAAAGAAAAGAGGAGGGGGGAGGGAGGTTGTGGGGGAGAGTGAATGAAGACTATTAGACTTACGTAGCTGAGAAGTGCAGATGCTCACAGAATGAAGTCCCGATGGATCGGGTCGCCCCCCCCCCCCCCCCCCCCTCCCATGCCTTCCCCAGCAAACATAGCCTACATCTGGGAGTCATTCTCAGTTCTCTCTTTCCTGTGGCTCTATACCTGGGATGGCCCCGGGGCTCAGTCCCCATCCTGCCCTGAGTGGTCGTTGGTAGGTCTTACCTTTTTTGGCACCTTTCTTTGTCTTCTTTGAATCCTGAGAGAAAGAACCACAAAAACAGGTGTTTACTGGGGCAGATGCAGATCCTGAGGCTGTCCCTGGGGGACCCCCACCCAGGCCATGGATTCATCCAGGAACTCGGGGAGAAGGGCTCCTGATGAGGAGGATGGCTGACCCGGGCCACACTTGAGGAGGAGGTGTCACCAAGCCAGCGACCATCAAAGTGCCCAGCAGCCCTGACAGACAACCAGGGCCCCTCGAGAATGCCACCAATCCCGACCTCACCCCATCCTGCCTGGCCCAGCAAGCTTTCCATTAAGAAGACGGGAGGCAGAGACAAAAGGGCAAGACCAAGGGGCCCATAGTACCCTGGCCTGTGTCAGCCTGTCGTACTGCAGGGTGCGGACCACCCCAAAATTGCACACAGTGGACACCAGCGTCTCCCCTGCCAGCAAGGGCTCCAGGTACACCGGGCCGCTCCCCAGCACGCGCAGCACAGGCGGGTCTTGCCGCAGCTCCCTGGGTGCCTCCTTTTTCTTCTTGAGCCCCTCTTTTTCCTGTGGGCAGGGCCAGGAGTGAAGACATGAACAAGACTGGGATGCACCCCCCATCCCCCCATCCCCCCCATCCCCGGCCGGCCCCAAGGTGGCCCAAGCAGGCCTTGCCTTTTCCTTGTCCTTTTCTTTTTCCTTTTCCTTGGGAGCCTCCTCGGCTTTCTGTTTCTTGTCTTTGTCTTTCTTGTCTCCCTTCTTCTGGTCTCCTTTCCCCTTCTTGGCAGGCAAGGAAACCTCAACAGGAGTTGACACCACGGGCCAGGAGAGGATCTAGATGACAAGATCCAGCAGGAAAGCTGACTACTCTGCCCCCATTCCCCTTGTCCTTTCTGGAGAGGCTCTGAGTGGCAACAAAGGAGGGAGCAGAGCTGTGACAACGCGGTGGAAGAGAGGACGTTGGAAAGGAGGTGAGCAGAGCACTGCAGCCAGTGGGAGGCCAGGGCCTCCTGCCCAGCCCACCTTCTCCTCCACGATGGTGACAACGGTCCCTGTCAGCAGGAAGGCCTTGACCCGCACCAGCTCCTTCAGAGTGTGTGTCATCTCATAGCTGCAAGGGATGACATCTGTCCAGGGCTTGTGCGCGGTGCTGAACAGGACTGTCCTTGGGGGTAAGAGACATGTGGTGTGATTGCCAGGGGCTTGCTGCCAACATAGGGCTGCCAGGGGACACCCAAGAAGACGGGCAAGCATCTATAAATGGTGAGGGACCAAGTCGTGGGCAGGGCAAAGGAATCAGAAGGCCAGAAAGGAACACAGGCAGAGAAGGCAAATGCCTGGGAGGACACTTCCTTCTGGGCATGCTCAGTGTGGCACGTCTGATGTACACCCACTAGAACCCATCAAGGTTTTTGTTTGGTTTTGCTTGTCACACTACAGGGTGCCAGGCTCTCCTTGAAAAGAGAGTTTTGCTCTGTAACCTTGGCTGCCCTGGAACTCACCACTAGCCAGGCTGGTTGAAAGAATCCCTCTGCCTCTGCCTCCTAAATGCTGGAATTACAGGTTTGCATGCTATGCTCAACTCTGAAGTTTAAAAAAAAAAAAAATCAACAAAGTAGTTTTAAAAAAAATCATAAATACAAGCCACTCTAAAGTGATGCTTTAATGGCAACCAGAATTCTCTTGGGACATGTGATGGGGCATGACAAATCAACTGTGGTAAGGCAAGAATTCCAAAGAACGAACAATAAAAAGAGTTGAAAGAGTCTTCCACAGGTGTCCATAGGCCAAAGTCCTCAGCAGCGTCATTCATAATGGCCAACAGGTGGAAGCCAGCCATTCCTCCATGGCTGAGCAGGCGGTTGAGCAGAAGGAGGTCTCTCCATCAATGGAGGACTACACAGAAGGAAAATCTGACCCATGCTACAGCATACATGAACCATGAAAACACAGCATGCTCAAAGAAATGAGCCAGACACAGACAGGCAAATGTTATAACTCCATGTAGAAGCCACGTGTGGTTAGATCTGCAGAGAGGAGGAGGCGGGACCTGGGCCAGACGGCAGGGCAAGCGGTGTTGAGCACAAGAGTTCTAATTTGAGATGCTGCTGAAGGAGCTTGGTCTCCTGGTGATCACTGTGGCTCAGCCCCAGCACATGTATGTAGTATGACGGAGCTACATTCTCAGGTAGTGTTAACGCGAGTAACAATGTTTGTTTGTTTGGTTGGTTGGTTGGTTGGTTGGTTTTCGAGACAGGGTTTCTCTGTGTAGCCCTGGCTGTCCTGGATTTATTTTGTAGACCAGGCTGACCTCAAACTCACAGAGATTGGCCTACCTCTGAGTCCTGAGTGCAGGGATTAAAGGTGTGCCCACCATGCCCCTCAGAGGATTAAAATTGTGCCAGGGGTGGTGGCCTCAGATACCTTGCAAATAGATTTCAGCTAAGAATCAAAGTCTGTCGACTCTAGTCTGCACATGTGACCAAGTAAATAGCAGGAAAAAAAAAACATTTTAAAAGAAACTGTGAGTGCACACAGTGACAAGGAGGGCTGAGCACGGGTTCAGGTGGTGGAGTTCTTGCCTACACACACCAAGCCCTGAGGTTCACCATCTCCAGCACCACATGGCACAGGCCTGTGACTCCAGCATTTGGGAAGTGGAAGGAGGAGAGGCCGCAGCTCCCTTAATGCCAGGTTGGACTACAGGAGATCCCCATCTTAAAAAAAAAAAAAAAAAAAAAAAGACAGTTTACAAAGATATCTGAGACAAAAACAGACAGAGTTGAAGGGAGAAATGGACAAGTCAGCAGAGATGGTTCGGTGGGTAGAGCAGCCTGCCACCAGACTTACCTATGAGAGCTCTGTCTCTGGGACCCCCACACTGGAGACAGCAGACTTCTGAAAGGTGTCCTCAGGCCTCCACGTGAGCTCTGTTACAGAGGTGCATCCCCAGGCCCGATTTTCATTCTTTTGCTAAAAGAGTTCTTAAATTATGTCTATCCATGCGTGTCTGGGTGGAGGTGTGTGGAGGTGAGCGCAGCTGCCCAGGAAGCCATCAGATGCCCTGGATCTGAAGTCACAGGCAGTCCTGAAGTGCCCAGTGTGGGTGCTGAAGAGTAAACTCTGGCTCTCTTTAAGCACTCACAAATGCACACATGCAAACTTGTGCACACGCACACACACACACACACACACACACACTTTTTTTTTTTAATTCACAATTGAGAACTGGTGAGATGGCTCAGCGGGTAAGATGCTTGCTCAGCAAATCTGACAACTTGAATTAAATCCCAGGAGCCCATGAAAAGGTGGAAAAGAGCTGGGCATAGTGGCACACGCCTATGATCCCAGATCTTGGGGGATCTCTGTGAATTCAAGGCCAGCCTGGTTTACAAGGCAAGTCCAGGACAGCCAAGGCTACACAGAGAAACCCTGTCTCAAAAAAAAAATGTGGAAGAGAGAACCAATTCCACAAAGTTGTCCCCTGACCTCACGTAAATACACACAATAAAAAAGACACTAGTGCTAGATGGTGCTGGCACACACCTTTAGTCTCAACACCTGAGAGGCAGAGGCAGGCAGAACCCTGAGTTCAAGGCCAGCCTGGTCTACATAGTGAGTTCCAGGACAGCCAGGGCTACACAGAGAACCCCTGTCTCAAAAATCAGTAAACAAAAAAAATAAACAAGACCTAGTAAGAAGGCAGCCAAGGGAAAAGCTACAGTACATGTCACTGAGAAAAACCACATATTCATAATAGAAAAGCAAGTTTCACAAATCGATGAGACAATAGTTAAAATGGGTAAGAGAGACAAAGAATAGTACAAGGATGAAGCCTAACGGTCAGGTGTAGTGGTGTGTACCTTCAGTTCCAGCGACCATCAGGTACGTACGTGTGCATGTGAGGCCCAAGGTTGACATGAGGTGTCTCCTCTGCTCATTCTCCATCTCGCACTTTTTGAGGGAGGTCTATCATTAAAACTATGGCTGGCTGTCATATCTATTCTGGCCAGCCGTCTTACTGCAGGGATTCCCTGCCTGCCTCCCACACACCAGGGTTACAAGCCTACCCAGCTTTTACACTGGTTCTGTAAATCCAAACGCTAGTGTAAGCGCTTGCGCTTAGGTTTGAAAGGTTCCCAGCGCTCTCTGATGGATCTGAGTTTCACCGGGTCTAGCCTGTCCACACAAAGTGGAATTGTAGGCAGTGTCAGGCAGGGTACCAGCGTGGCCAGATTCCAGTGAAAACAGAACCACTGGGCTTCTCCAGCAGACATCTACAGAACTGTCACAGCACCAGACATGGTGGTGCATGCCTTTAATCGCAGCATTCTGGGAGGCAGGCAAATCTCTGTGAGTTCGAGGCCAGCCTGGTCTACAAAGCAAGTCCAGGGAAGCCAAGGCCACACAGAGAAACCCTGTTTCAAAAAACAAAAACAAAAACAATCTAATAATAACACTAGATAGATAGATAGATAGATAGATAGATAGATAGATAGATAGATAGATAGATAGATAGATAAAAGACTGCCACAGCTCATTGACCTTCTGTGTGATCCAGCATAGCTCTAGTAAGATAAAACTCTTTTTTTCTGGGTGTGGGGGGGGAGGATGTTTTTGACACAGGGTTTCTCTGTGTAGCCCTGGCTGTCCTGGACTCACTTGTAGACCAGGCTGGCCTTAAACTCACAGAGATCTGCCTGCCTCTGCCTCCCAGGATTACAGGTGTGCACCACCACGCCTGGCTTTGAGATAGGACTCTTAGAGGCTGGTTTCCTCTGGACTTTTCCCCACATGCCTCTTCATTCATTTATTCTTTCTTTCCTTCACTCATTATAGAGCCTAAACAGGCCTCCACTTCACAATCCTCTTGTCTCAACTTTCTAAATGCTGGGATTACAGGCATGTATCCTTTCATTATTGCTCACCCTCTCTTATTAATTTTCCCCCAAATAAAAAAGCAATGGCAAGAACTCCTCAGCTTGAGGCGTGATGTAGCTTAGTGGTAAGGCAAATGGCAGAGCAGCACTGAATTCATGAGGCCCTGGTTCAAGCCCCAGCACTGAAACTAAACAGAACAGAAGCAGAGGCCTCCACTGGGACCTACCAAGTCTCTTGACACAGAGTCGGTTGGTGCCATCCCTGCTTCTTTCTGTCAGTGGCAACAGGACATCTGCTTCTCCTGCTCCGCCATCTCTGTCACTCCTGGGAGGTGGCAGCCCAGCAAGCTTAGCTCGTGTCCTCAGCTGAGGTTTTGAGGAACACCTAGGGGGGTGGCTCTGTCCTAGGGTGATGCTTTGTAGGCACTCAGACTTGGATGCGGTTGGGGTGACCTTTTTTTATGTTCCGTGTCTTTGTATTATCCAAAAGCTGATTTCTGCCCTGGCAGAGACTTGAGAAAAGGCCGGACTTTGATACTGTTGTTCTTATGAAGCAGCACCTGCCTCAATTTTGTAAACATCTTCTCCACCACCTTCTGATTGGTTTATTAAAGAGCTTGAAGGACCCATAGCAAGGTAGACGAGCATAAGCGGGACATCTAGCAAAGATAAAAACTCTGGGAAGGAGTCAAGGACAGGCCTTTCGCCGGCCAGATGCGGAGGAAGAAGCGAGTGTGTGGCAGATTAGCATAAACAGGTTCAGTTAAGTTACACAAGCTGCTTGGAGACAAGCCTAAGCTAAGGCCAAGCCTTCATATTAGTAAAAGGTCTCTGCAGCATTGGGCCGCTGGCAGGTTGGGACATTCTGGCAACAGGGTTCCCTCTCCAACACCAACAGGAATAAACCAAACACTTCCCACACACAGCCCCAGAGAAGCTAAGCTCCCGTTCCCGAGGACAGCCAAATGCAAAGCTGCCGGGAGGGGCAGGCACCCTGAAGGGGAGCTCAGCTACATTCCGTTCAAATAGCCACACTGTTCCCGTGTTCTTATGAAAGCCAGCCAGGGAATTTGTTACTCTCAATCCTTACGAAGCTCGGGGTGCGCGCGCGCGTGTGTGTGTGTGTGCGTGTACACGCATGTGCAAAATGGGTTTCCTAGACAATAAAAACCGTTTGGTGGGCCTGGTGGTGCCTGGAATTTGAACTATTCAGGAGGCTGAACCAGAAGGATCACAAGTTCAAGGCCAGCCTAGAAAACTTAGAGAGACTTTGTATCTAAGAACAAAAAGAAAGGGGGGGGGGGGGCCTCTGCAATGGAGTACCTGTCCAGACTCATTGCTTCAGCCTCTAGTACTGAAAACAAAGCAAAACAAAAACCTAGAACACCTTGCTACATTTTGTATGATGGATTGAAAAGTTAAAAGACGGTTGGAGAGATAGCTCAGTAGTTAAGAGCACTGGCTGCTGCTCTTGCGGAGGACCTGGGTTTGGCTCCCAGCACCCACATGGCAGTTTACAACCAGCTATTGGAGTTACAGATTCCAAAGGATCTTCCCGACTCCTCAGGCATTAGACACGCATGCATTTCTGTACATGAGGCAAAACCCCTCACTCATTCACAAATATATATATATATATATATATATATATATATATTTTTTTTTTTTTTTAAGAAAAGCTATAAGAATTCAGTTCCAAGAGCTGAGATGGAAGCTGTCCCATGTCCTCTGTTGACAAGGAGGGTCAACCTTTCAGAGAATTTTGGTCCCCTGGGCATTTGGGGCTCAGTTGTACTGAGTAGAAGATTAGGGCTCCAGAAAAGAAAGGTCTGTGGCTAAGCCCAAAGCTCCCTCTAGCTCACAGCCTACAGAGCAGCTAATAAGAGGCCTTCGTGGCTGGGGGAAGCCGCAAGTGCAGCCCTGGCTTGCAGCTTCCTCAGATACACCATCTAACCGCAGCCCCCTTCTGCCCTTACCCTGGGGATGGACAGAGCCGGATGTCTATCCGTGGCCGCAGCTTGGACAATTCCTCTGAGGAGGTAACTGACTGAGGCATCGGGGGCGAGCGGAGGGAAATGGTGGTCTCCGACGCCTCCGTATCTGTTATCATAGACTCTTCAGAGCCCTCGGCCATCTGATCCATCTCCTGAGCTATAAACACAGACAACTCCTTGGATATGCCCTCAGGAGACACTGGGTGAAGCCTCTGCTGGCCCTGGCGGCTTTGGCGACCTTGGCGACCTGGGTGCTGGGGCTCTATATCCAGCAGATCCTCCGGTTGGTCATACTTCTCAGGACCCTCTTCTTCTAAACGATCCGCAGTAGGAGAAGGCTTGACAATTTTTAGACAAAGAACATGTGTCAAACTGTTACCCCAGCAAGGGTAGGTCGACATAGGCCAAGCCGGGGTCTGAATATTCTTATGAATTTGTAGTGCTTGAGCTAGAACTGCGGTTCTTATGCATGCAAGGCAGGTGTTTTACCACTGGGCCATAACCCAGCCCCACATGAACTGAAAGCACAACCAGACACACAAACTTAGGAAGCAGGAGGATGAAACAAAGACCACCTGAACAAACACAACACTTTTCTGTGCTGTCCTTGAGTTTGCCTGAGACGCAGGGGTTGGGCAGGAGGCGTCATGAAAACTGTCGAGCTGGGCCAGGAATACCTGACCTGAGTGGGAAGTTTTGTGCTTCTTTCCTGTTAGGGTCAGTTGTCAGAGGGAAAAGGAGGTGAGCATCCTGAGACTCACCTTGCCTGGGGAAGGGGCTATCAGGCAGAAACCAGGTCCCTGCTTAGAGGAGGGGTATGACTCTGTGTTAAAGAAGATTTTTCTGGGCCCTAAAAAGCTGTCCTGTACACACACGGAAGCCCACAGATCTGGGTGAGGCCCAGTCTGCTACCCAGGCCAGGCAGGACATACCTCCGTGGGAACACTGTCACGGTGGCTCTCCCCCAGGGTACTGGCATACACATTCCTTTCGGTATCCAAATCTTCCACAAAGTCGTAGGTCACATAATAGTTGTAGGTGATGAAAGGGCCGTCAGGTCCTGGCTCTGGGTCAAAGACAGAGGTGTCCATAACTCCCCTGATGTTTCCAATGGTGACCACAAACTGTGCCTCGTGAGGCAGCAGGTCTGCAAAGGAGGAACGGCAGGACTGAGAGACGGGGCTGCAGGAGGGAAGGCACAGGCCGCCAAATTCCCCACCCCCACCCCTAGAGTTAGAGTCCCCAGCTCGGCATGACTGGGGAGGAAGCCCATAGATACCCGGAGGCCTTGTTTTCCTATCGGCCAACTGGAGGTGCTGAGAGGTGTGCAGGGACAGTTCTGAGACAGGGAGAGGTGGAAAATATCTGAGATGCCAGCTGGTACCTGTGGCTGTCACTGCCAGGTCTCACCATGACTCAGACCTCCCCAAAAGGCCTGATGCACCTTATACCAGGAACCACAAGGGGGTGTTCTCAAGCCACCGCAGAACAGAAGATGCCTCCAAACCCCTACCACAAGAGTCCTACACAGAAAAAAACCCAACCAAAGTAGCTTAGTGTACCTGACCAGGGTAGAGGTCAAATGGAGAGCTGCTGGCTAGCTCATGGGACGGAGGCGGGCAAAGCAGAGGCAGGGTGACTGCACCTACCACCTTGAATGCTGAGTCCCCGGAACTGGTGCTTCTCATTGGGGGACACGGTGATGTCGTCCAGCACGCACAGGCGTGCCAGGCTGTCCACGGTAAAGCCTCGGTAGTAAGGCACGAGGGCCAGTGGGTTCCCCTGCAGTACCAGCAGCCGCAGGTGCCTCAGGGTGCTGAGACTGGCTATCATGCTCTGCAGGTCTGTCAAGTCGTTGAAGCTCAGGTCCAGGGAGACGAGTTTGTGCCTGGAAGGTTGGCCAAAGTACTGGTTAGGAAGCTCAGTGAGCAGAGACACAGCCCCCCGGGCCGCACAGCTTGTTCTGTCTCGCAGCCAGATTAGCTCTTGATCCTGTGTCTCTTTTCTCCCTAGAACACAGCCTGTGTTCATGGACTCTCACAACCCTCCCTGTCCCGTTTCCAGCTGGACCTCCCTCTCTGTTAACTATCAGCTTAGTGCTGTGCCTCTGGAACATTCTTTGCAAATTGCTGCAAGCCACTGTAAGAGGTTGGGTATGGGGACCTGGGAGGGGGAGTGCACAGCCAGAGATACTGAGCTGGACATCTCTCTTCAGAGCCATAATGGCCGTGGCCACAGGGAGCTTGTCAGCTCGTTTTCCAGACCAGAGTTTATCAACCTGTGCGTTGTGACCCCTTTTAGAGTCTAGAGACCCTTTCACAGGGTCCCATATCAGAGATCCTGCATATCAGATATTTACATTATGATTCATAACAGTAGTGAAGTTACAGTTATGAATTTTGTTGTGGGGGTCACCACAACATGAGGAGCTGTTCTAAAGGTCGCAGCATTAGAAGGTCGAGAGCCGCTGCCCTAGAGAATTTGGGAGAGGAAGAAAGAATGAATATGTTAGTATGGACACATGAGACTGACAGGCAGCGATGAAGTCTAAGCCTTCAGTAGAGACCAAGACACAGAAACAGGCAGAACTCTGTCCCATGCAGCAAACTGACTCCGGCTCTGAGGCCAGAGGCCAAAGAAGCACCAGGGGAAATTGTCACGGTCACCACAACGCCTTTCCCACAGGCTGAGACAGCCTCTTCCCTTTCTCTCCTCTCTCCCTCATTCCAGTGGCCTGTCCTGCTAGGCCGGTCACTGGCTAGTTCCCGGGAAAGGGCAGAGGGAACACTGCGGGGCTCACCACAGGCCTTGCCCCAGGCCATCCTACTGAGAGAGAACTGGGTTCCCAGGAAAGACGTTCTCTTTTCATTCTAAGACAGCAGATGATGAGTTTTCACACAAGCTTTTTGTGAAATCCAGAGTTGGCGTTAAGCCCAAGGTTATGGTGTGTATTCTGAATCAAAAACCAGATTCTTGCTATTAGTCAATGGCATGAACCTAAATTGACTGTTCCAGGAAGACCAAGTATGTGGTTTCCTGTGTGTCTGCTAAGGGCAGCAGACAATGGAAGGAAGGGATTCCAGTGAGACTGACTGTGCAGACTGGGTGAGAACAGCAGAGCAGGGAGGAGGCCAAAGCTCCACCAGAGAGGGCCTTCTCTTTTCTAAGGCACCTCCCATCCCCAAGAGCATTGGAATGGCTGGACCATCCTGGAGATAATGGGGTGAGGGTGAGGGAGGAGAATATGGAGTTCTACCACATCTTCAACTATGCACTGAGTTTGAGGCTACATTAGACCCTGTCTTAAAAAGAAAGAGGGCAGCTGGGACACAGAGTTAACAAAATGTAACTAATAAGAAAAATAAAATTAAAAAAAAAAAAAGAAAGAAAGAGGGTAAGGGGGAAGGGGAGAGGCAGTAAAAAGCACCCATGAAAATACCCTCAGGTGAGGAACTCCTGGGTGAGGAACTCTCCCAGGAAGAGTCCTTCTGCAGCTCCCCATGATGGCCTATTAAAGTGGCCTCTGATCTCGCTGTAGGTCTCATGTCTGAATTTTAAATTTTCCACAGTTAATCCTGCAAGGAGACAAACGCCTCTGGGCGTGGGGGTGCCCTGCAAAGCTCTGGTGGATGGACGTTCAGCTACAATGGGGCACCCAAGAGTTGCCTCTAGGACAATGGCTCTCAGCCTGGAGAGGTTTTGCCCCTCAGGAGACGTTGGGCTCTGCCTGCAGATGTCTGCCTCTAGTAGCGAGAGGCGAGTGTGCTGCTAAGTGTCCGCCGCAGAGAAGGCACGATAAACTGAAACGCCCCAGAACTAAGCTGACGACCCACCAGCCCCTGGCATCCTTATCCTTCCTGGAGCCTCGGTGATAGATTGTGACTGAGTGAGAATGAAAGCCTAGTGTGGGTTCAGCAGCTGCGGAGAAGTTACGGAACAAGCAGAGCCAAGCCCTCCAGGGCCGAGTCCCCACACCTGCCTCTGAGTGCCTCTCTCTCCTTTCATCCAGACTCCCACATTACCAGTTGTTAGAGGTGATGTACAGACTCTCCAAGGGGCCCAGTAGTTTGTTGTGGCCCAGCCCCAGGTGCTGCAAGTTCGGTGGTGGAGGGGAGCACAGACACTCCATGCTGGTGATCAGGTTGCCATAGAGCTCCAGCACCTGAGAAGAAACAGCGTTGGCCACGACTGGAGGGCTTTATCCCACTCACCACAGGCTCCTGCTCCTGCCCTGGGAAACTCAGAAAGGGAGTTTGGGTTGCCGGTTACTGCCTCCCTTTGCCAACTTGCTTTCAATAATGCAGTAACAGGATGTTGTGTGGCTTAATTGGTAGACAGCTTATCCAGCATGCATGGGACCCTGAGTACCATCTCCAGAACCTAATGCCAGTGTGGCAGCATGCTCCTGTAACTCCAGTATTTGAGAGGTAGAGGTAGGAGGATAGAGTTAAGGATCATTCTTGACTACATAGTGAGTCTGAGTCCAGGCTAGTATACATGAAACTCTGTCTCAAAGGGGGGGATGGGAGCCGGGCATGGTGGTGCACGCCTTTAATTTTCAGCACTCCTGGTGGCAAAGGCAGGTGGCTTGCTGTGAGTCTGAGGCCAGCCTGGTCTACAAAGCGAGACCAGGACAGCAAGGCTACACAGAAAAACCCTGTCTCAAAAAAAGGGGAGAGGTAGAGGGGGGGTATGAGGATGGGAGGGGAGTCACAGAGCTGACTACACAAGCCTGATGGCCTGAGTTCAATTCCTGAATCCCAAGGTGGAAGGAAAGAACCAGTTCTCACAAAGCTGTTTTCTGACCCACGTGAGTACCATGGCACATGTGTCCCCTAATACATACACAAAATAATAAAATTTAAAATAAAAAAAATTAGCATAAGAAGAGTGGGCGAGGTGGCATGTGCCTATAACCCCAGCCCTCGGGATCCTGAAACACAAGGCTCTCAAGTTCCTGGCTAGCTTGGGCTATTCAACAAGTCCCGAGTCAACCTAGAATATAAAGCAGCATCCTGTCTCAAAAGAAAAGGGGGCGAGGGTGGGGGAGTGAGGAGGGTGTGGTTGGGGCATAGAGGCAGAACAAAGGGTTTTGCTGCAGCCAAAGGGGAAGATTCTTTATTGTTTGGAAGGGGAGGTGGTAGGGAGTGGTTGGGGATGAGTTTTTTTGTTGTCATTTTGTTGTTTTTTGTTTTTGTGAGACAGGGTTTCTCTGTGTAGTCGTGGCTGTCCTGGAACTCTCTCTCTGTAGACCAGGCTGGCCTCAAACTCAGAGATCTGCCTGTCTCTGCCTCCCGAGTGCTGGGATTAAAGGTGTGCGCCACCACTGCCCAGTTTACCCTAGCACCCTCTTAACCTGTGGGAATGCACGGGGATGGGCGTGGACCGTGGAATAAGCCCTGAGTTGGCAGCTCTGTTTGCCTCACTTTCACTTCTTACCTACGGTGCTGTCTTGAGCAGGCATATGGAGACAAGCCACTAAATCAGCTGAGTCAGTTCTCAGCGTTGAACTCCAACGACGACATTTTAGTATGCTCAGCTGAAGACCCCTGATAAAGCGTGGTCTACCCTCTTTATCTGTTTTGTGTGCATATGTGGGTGTGTTTACATGTGGGTAAATGTGTGTGCACGTGGGTACATTCATGTGTGTGAAGCATGGGTACATGTATGTGTGTACATACATGCGCATGCACGTACATTCATGTATGCACGTGTGTACATGTGTGTATGAGCGTGTGTACATGGATTACATATGTGTGCGTGCATTTGTGTTGGCATGTGTGTGTATATGTGTTCATGCAGGTGTATACGTGTGTGCATGTGTGTACATATGTGTGCATGTATGCGTGCATGTGTGTGTATCTGTGTTTGTGTCCAGGTGAGTCTCCCACGCACCTGGAACTTACAATATAGACAGGCTGGTTGGCCAGAGAGTCTCAATGCCCCTCCCTCCCCCCGTGTCCACCTCCCTAACACTGAGATAAAAAGCACACCCCAAATAATCCATATTTCTCACATGGGGTCTGGTGCACCCAACTCAAGTGTTCCTGCTTGCAAGGCAATCATTTTACTGACTAAACTATCTCCATAGCCCCTCACCTACTGTTTTAGCATGGTAAAATGTATATCATACAAATTAGCCATTTCAAGCGTATAATTCATGGGCTTTAATTACATTCACAATGCCAGCTACCACCATCAGCTCAAACAGATGTAGGAAGGGAGGGAGGGAGGGAGGGAGAGGGAGAGAGGAAGGAAGGAAGGAAGGAAGGAAGGAAGGAAGGAAGGAAGGAAGG